GGGGAGACTCGCCAAAGGAGCAATGGCCTCTGCCATCTCTTCTGCCTGGGAGAAAGCTGCCCCCCCCACCTCTCACCCCGATTCCAGGCAGGTTAGTTCCTCCCCAAATGTCCCAGGTCCTTTCAAGCTGCTGTCTGGTGCTGGGGCTCAGAGGTCGTGCATCTGAGTCCGAGTGCGGGCCCTTTAAGAGGAGCTGCCTGGGGCTCCCGCAGCCTCCAGGACCCTCAGAGACAGTCCCTCCTGGTTTCACAGCCCAGAGTTGTGGGGATGTCTCTTCTCAGCCTGGAGCTCTGGTCTGGGGTCGTGCTGTGCGGCTGGGACCCCTCACTCCTCTGGGAAACCCCCACCGCCGAGATTCCCTTCCAAGTTTCAACAGCTGCACCAGGTGTGTGCCTGTGGCCCTGTCTCTACGATTCAGCCCCGATCCACCCGCGTCTGCGCCCCTCCTACTGGTCTCGGTGCTTCTTCAGCTCCCTGGTTGTGGGGCTTCTATTGAGCCAGATCTCAGGAGGCTCTGAGTGATGGTGGTTCTGTATGTTAGTTGTAATTTTGATGTGGTTGTGGGAGGCAGTGGGTGCAGCTGTTACCTACGCCGCCATCTTGTTTCTCTTCCCTGTTGGCTTTTTTATATGCCTGTTGACCATTTGCATGTCTTCTTTTGAGAAATGTCTATTCAGATCCTTTGTCCATAATTTAATTGGGCTACTTGTGGTTTTTGCTATTTAACTGTATGAGTTCATACATTTTGGATATTAACTCTTTATGAGATATGTGGTTTGCAGAATATTTTCTCCCATTCCATAGGTTGCCTTTCACTTTGTTAGTTGTTTCTTTTGCTGTGCAGAAGCTTTTTAGATTGATGGAATCTCATTTGTTAATTTCTGTTTTTGTTTCTATGCTTTTGGTGTCTTATCCACAAAAAGCATTGCCTAGACCAATGTGAAGAAGTTTTCCTCCTGTTTTCTTTTAGTAGTTTTATGGTTTTAGGTTTTACTTTTAATTCTTTAATTCATTTTTAGTTTACTTTTGTATATGGTGTGAGATAAGAGTCCTATTTTATTCTTCTGCATATGAATATCCAGTTTTCCCAGTACCATATATTGAAGACTATCCTTACTCCATTGTTTCTTATTGACGTGTAATTGAAGATTGACTATAGAAGCATGTATTTGTATCTGAGCTCTTTTCTATTACATTAGTGTATACATCTGTTGTTATGTAAGTACTATACACTTTTGATTACTGTAGCTTTGTAATATATTTTGAAATCAGAACGTCTGATGCCTCCAGTTTTATTCTTCTTGCTCAGAATTGCTTTGAATATTCAGGGTCTTGTGCTTCTATATGAATTTTAGGATTGTTTTTCTATTTCGGTAAAGAACACCAATGGGATTTTGATAGGAATTATATTGAATCTGTAGGTCACTTTGGGTATTATGGATATTTTAACATTCTTTTTTAAATAAATTTTTAAAATATCTTTATTGATTTCAGAAAGAGGAAGGGAGAGGGAGAGAGAGAAAGAGAAACATCAATGATGAGAGAGTCATTGATCAGCTGCTTCCTGCATGCCCCCTACTGGGGATTGAGCCTGCAACCAGGGTATGTGCTCTGACCAGGAATCAAACCGTGATC